TTAACTGCAAAGCCACCATGCTGCCTAATTGGCAAGGTGGGACTTTTTAAATGGAAACATGTACTTTTCCTGAAACAGTTCTTTTCTGTTTTGAGGTGTTGATGATAGCACACTGAACTAAAAACAAGGGCTACTTACATTAATAAATAAATACACATTATGTGAGTAATGTCCAAGAAGGTAGACCAGGGATGTCCAATGTTGGCAACTTTAAGATTTGTGGACCTCAACTCCCAGAATTTCCCAGCCAGCATGAACTCTGGGAATGGAAATTCATGGGTCTTTAAAAGTTGCCTAAGTTGGACACCTGATGTACACTGTGAACTACATGAAGTGGAACATATTGCAGAAAAATAGGAGAGCAACATCTCAAAAGTACAGGAATGGAATGAATAAAAAAAGGATGTTTGCTTTTTTTTTTCTCCCTGTCCCTACAGCCTCACAAATTCCCAAAGGAATTTTTTCAGCCCTGCAAAGTTCTGGGACTGCAGGATGAATATGGAATTTGTTTCTTGACTGCCATTTTTTGCTGGGTAGACTCCACTGGTTTTCTCCCAACTCTTGACAAACATAAAGAAAAATAGCAGGCACGCACATGCAACCTATACATATACAGACAAATTACAAGGGAGGCAGAGTAATTATTTAAATTAAAATATATAGCTAAATAAAAATGTCTCAAACAGGTGGCTGAAAGTTGGTACAATGCACATCTCTTTCAGAAAGACATTCCAATGCTGAAACAGCATCATAGGGAGAGAAAAATATTTTGCTTTGTGAAAATATATTGCAGTTTCCATAAGAAAACTCTTTGAAAGAAGTCCTCGGCCAAAGGTCTTGTGCTCCTCAAGATCAGTAAGATCTTGTATGCCTTTCCCAAGATTCAGCCTCTTATTGCTCCTTTAAAACATAAGGCTATGGCCCTTCTCCTCATGATGGACTCGGTCCTGCTTTTAATAATTAATGTTTATCTTCTGCAATTGCTAAGAAAAGCTGAAACCACTGCAGTATGGATGAAGTTGGAACACTATATTAGTAAACTCCTCTTGGACCATCCAAAAGCCAGAGTCTTACTAGGGGGAGACTTCAATGTTAGATTGGGACCAGATGATTACACATTATATACAGGATGGGATTCTACTGGTTCAGGTGAACAGGTAGCTCCGACTATCAGCTGGGCCCACCCACCCACCCCTGCGCTATACTTACCTATATTCCCTTTTCTGAAGTCCAGCTGATAGGCATGGCAGAGTGGATTATTCAACTGTTTTCCTCCTGCGGAAGGTGATTTCTCTCTAAACTGCACACACACACAGTGCATGTCAGGCACATGCACATGTGCAGCGAGTGCACAAATGCAAAGTGCATGCAAAGCATGTGTGAAGCAAACCAGTTGCTAAAACGGTAGGATCACATCCCTGATTATATATGAAATATCATCAATATCCACCATTGGAGGTTCCATACCAGCCAGTACCTCCTTCACACGACTTTCTAAAGACAATTCTGTATGACACCACTAATAATGTATTTCTAAAAATTTCCATAAGATGAAGGATGCTTATTTATTTAGCTCAGTACATTGCAACAATCAAAACTTCTTGAGGACTTAAAATATAACATAAGTAGTAGAATTTAATGTGTTTAAAATCAGAACATCAATATTGAGTTATAATTTTCAGATCAAAACATTCAAGGATTCCAATCTCAATATTCCAGATGTAATCCTCATTAAACCCATTAAATTAAGAACCTTTCTCTTATCACAAGGCCTTTATTCATGTTAATACCGTAATGTTTATAAACATTAAAGGGTTAATTATGCTCAGGAACAGAAGGAATGCTCCTAAATAATTTAAACCCTCTAGGAAAAGCTGCGCATTGGGCATTCTGCAACTCAGTGCCAATAATACATAACAAGATGGAAGGGGGGGAATCAAAGACATGCAAATTATTTTTTTCCTATGTTACCATGTCTTCAAGTAATTTTTGACACTGAAACTAGATTATTTTCAAAGTTACAATGACACTGGTCTCCCTGACATATGTGGCATCTCTGGTACATACCCACACATCCTTTACAGCCCACACAATATGACACATCCCATATCACGGTAGCCCCAGGCACTTCCTTGCTCCTTTCCCCATCTGGTAGCAACCTCTTATCTGCCGTTTGGTCTTGGACTTGCAACTTATTGCTGACTATCCCACTGACTTTCTCCTTGCAAGCTTCCCACAAGCAAAGGGAAGAGAGGGAGGGAGGAAAGAAGGATTTCTGATGCTTTCTGCCAGCTTCCTATAAAGAAACTCAATGGGAAAGCATCAGGAAGTCAGAAGTCGCTCTCACTCCCACTGCTTTTTTTACCTAACCTTGGTCATTCTGTTTCTCTATTTAGGTAAGGAAATATCTTTGAACTGATGACCCAACAGGGATCGGGTTTTCTAGTGTCTAAAGGCCAGGTTGAAATTAACTCTGGCATCTGACGATTTACTGTATAACTTTTTTGGCAATATTATCAAATCCATTCTATGTTCATCTCTTCCAGAATTCATTTTATTTTTTCTTTTAAACTTGCCAATCATGGTATACACCTGAAGTTTTCTGCTAGCCTTATCTATTCCCCGAGATGATTACCTCTGTCACCATTATTGGTTACTATTGCATTGTTATCATATCTATTAACTAGTATTTGTTGGTTTGTATATCATACATCTTGTGTCCTGTGTTCAAAAAAAGTATGAATGTACATTTATCAAGGGATACATTAAACTCAACCAAAGTAGGTCACAGAAGAGCAAAAAATTATTCTACTAGATTTCAGCTAATGGAACATATAAAAATATCAGAATAAAGTTATCCTACTCAACAGCAGTCAGTTCTCAATGCATCAATGGTACTTAATACAAGAATAAGTTCCCATGTGAACTGGATAACTGGAGAACACTTATTGGGACTGGACAATATTGCCAGAAGTTATAAACATGGATGAGAACTATAGTGCTTTAGAGCCATC